ATCTGGCCTTGAACACCTCCAGGGACAGGGCATCCACAGCCTCTCTGGGCAGCTGTTCCAGCACCTCACCATTCTCATTCTCATAGTAAAGACAGTATCCCAAAGCAGAATGAGGTTGGTGCAGCTGCCACTCCACGTTTACAAAGTTTATTCATGCATTCAGCTGCTCTGGACTGCAAATGCACAGTGACTGCACCAGTGGCACTCATCACATTAACCATTAACTTCTTACAAGGGGATTTAACCATCCACATCACATGATTTCGTTCGTAACTGTACAGCAGCCAGCCACTTCAATCCAGTCCTTAGTTATCAATAAACAGCAGGTTTGCTCGTGTGTGTCATTTTAAAGTCAGGGTTGGAAGAGCCACTTACAGGAGAGACACCTTTCCACAGCCCCAGGAGACTTTCAGTACGAACCACCCTGAAGAGCACCGCCACCATCCCAGCACGACCGGACCTGGAAGGAATACCAGACAGCACCCCAATGACTCCCCGCACCACCGGGCCCATCGCTGCACCTCCACGTGTTACCCCGGCCTTCACATGCTCCCTGTGGCCCCTTGGCCGCTCCTTCCAGAACGCGCTGCTGCTCCACAGGGCCTCGGTACCCAGTCACCATCCAATTTCCCACCCAGTCACCCATCCAATTACCCACCCCATCCAATTACCCGCCCCTACAGCGCTCACCCTCCCACGGCCGGCTGCAGGGTCTGCAGGCGGGTCTTCAGCAGGTCGAGGGGCTGGAAGAGCAGCGTGGAGCAGGTGCCGCTGATGGAGCCGCAGACGAAGGCCTTCAGCACGGGGTGCATCTGGAGAGGAACGGGGGACATGGCTGCTTTATCCGTTCCTAAACCGTGTCGCAAGGAACGGGAAGGGCGAAAAATCGCTCCTTTAACGCGCGGCCGCGCAGCCCGGTCCCGCGCCTCGCACCCCGCGGCACACGGGGCGCCCCCCCGCCGTCTGCCATGCAGGGGGAGTCGCGCGGGACCCCGCCGAGCTTCGCGTGCGCCGCGGCGGGCCGGACGCACGTCATTACCTCGTCCTCTCGCCCCGGCATCCCAGCGCCCCGCCGAACCAGTGAGCGCGGCGAGCGGCAGTGACGCGCGCACCGTCCCCCCGGCGGCCAATCCAGCGCGGGCTCCGGACGGCGGCGGGAGCGAGCCGCGCATGCGCGCCGCTTAACCCTTAGCGTGCCGAGGGGGCGCGCAGTTACGGCTTATTGCATCCCGCGTGTGTGATGGGTCGGCGCCGCGGGCAGCACTAACCACGGGTGTGTGTGTGGTGGGGTGGCCTGGTGATGAGCGCTGTGTTTAGAAAGCTGTTTTGGGCATCTTTGGTTTGAGACACCGCGTTGTGATGGGTCACGAATCAGTGATTCTGTGAGTTGGCACCTTTGAGGACACAATGAAATACACGTGTCTCGAAGTGCTGGCCTAACGGTGTGAGCTTTCCCCTCCAATAAAGCTGGCAAACCCAAGTGAGGTGTGTTTGTGAGAGGTTTTTGTAGCACTGAGGTAGTGCATCAGGCTGCTTTGTCCAGCTCATGGCAGCAGCTGGGTGCCCATGGCTCCAAAGACCCCACAGCTGTGCTGCACCCCTGGCAGTGCCGTCCTCATCCCCACGTGGAGCCAGCAGGGCATCGTGGGGCAGATGTAGCCACCGGGACCTGCTGAGCCAACCACAGGCTGCAGCAATGGCAGCCGAGCAGCTCACAGCCCACGCAGGAGCTGGATGCTCTGGCAGTACCATGGCCTCCCAGTGCCCGCCTTGCTGTAGGGCTGGAGAAGCTTTGTTTTCTTGTTATGATCACGATGAATGAGAAGGTGACCCAGCACGATGGGGACAGTGACAGTGGGGTCACCTCCACTGGTGCAGGTTTTGACAAGCGTGGCATGCAGGCTCCTGTTCATCTGCATCACTGGGACATCCCCCACAGACATCTTCCCCATCATGGTGATGCGGGGAAATGGTGCTGGGATACCTAGTGAGAGACAGGACACCTGGCAGACGCGTGGGGCAAGTGACAGAGCTCTTTCACTGACGTTCCTGTTCATGTGAAATGACGTACCGATTGTAAAAAAGATAAGTCCGACACACGTTTCCTTTTCTGTAAGCATGAACTGAAGAGAATGAACTGACTGCCTTGTGGGTTTACACACCTTGAATATAACATCTGTCACGCAGAGGAAGAGGCACTTTGAGATTGTCTGCTGTTAGAGTGAAGACCTTGCTGGTGGCTTGGTGCTGAAAGGTAAACTAAGGTAAGCGCTGCCACTATATATCTATGAAGATATACTCACCTCTCAGATGTGCTGTATACACTGAGACATTTTTCTGGCACTTTCACACAGTGCTGGATTATGGATGGGGACCTGAGGAGCCTGCTGGCCGGAGGAAAGCTGGAGGACTTGCCGGTGAGTGGATGCATCTGGGCTTGCTCCTGAGGGGCTGTCACTGGGAGAGGTCAATCTGGCGGGGACAGTGAGGGTGTGGAAGTGGTCGTGGTTCTTTGAAAGCAGCACATGCGAAGGCACCTTCTGCAGAGGAGGCTGCTTGTGTCAGGGCTCGCGCATCCCTTCACTGAAGTCACAGGGGAAGTCCCTGTGCAGGAGATGTGCCCTCACCACTCTCAGAGGGCTGGGCACGGTGTGGTGGGCACTGCCAGGAAGGCAGCATGGCTTTGGAGCTGTGGGCACCCAGCTGACTCCATGAGCTGGACAAAGATCTTGACAGAACACAGAGCTGAGCCCCAAAACCTCTGCTGAGGGCTCTCAGCACCCTGGCCTGAGTGCTATTTTGGTGGTGCTCCCACCAGCACTTGGACCAGCAGATCAGGCTGGATACAGACATGGGACTGGGCACATCGAGAAGCTATGGAAGGAAGCTGATTTACCACAGCAGCTGCATTTCCTTTCATCTTCCCTGCCCCTGTGGCTCAAGACCCTCATCCTGTCAGGGCAGGGCCATCACACATGTTCATTCCCCATTTGTGTCATCTGACCTGGCCAAGGCACACCTAATTTTAACTTGTGGGCTTCATGTGAGATGAATTATATTTTTACTAGGAATGTAAATTGAGATTAGGACCTCACAAACTTCATTGTTCTTGAACAGGTGGATTACCATTTGTCACTAGCAATTAACACCTCTGCACCCTATGATAACATGTACTACCCTGAACTGGACATTGACTGTGAATTTGAAAGTATTCCAGCATTTGCATCTTCATTTTTTCCAGTGCTGTACTCCATATTGTTTGTGGTCGGTCTCATAGGAAATGCTTTGGTTGTTTGGGTCCTAACAGTCTTCAAGAAGATCAGGGCCATGACTGACGTGTATCTGCTGAACCTCGCCATCTCTGACCTCGTCTTTGTCTTCTCCCTCCCTTTCCTGACTCAGTACTCCCTGGTAAGCCAGTGGACTTTTGGCAACGCCATGTGTAAAATTGTCAGTTCTGCTTACTTCATTGGTTTCTACAGCAGCGCCTTCTTCATAACCATCATGAGCATTGACAGGTACTTGGCCATTGTGCACTCTGTGTATGCCCTGCAGGTCCGGACAACCACCCATGGAGTCATCGGAAGCCTGGCCCTTTGGGCAGTAGCCATTTTAGCATCAGTGCCAGGCCTTGTGTTCTTCCAGGAAGTGGATGATGATAACAGGACACTGTGCATCCCTCACTACCCTGGCAGCGGCAATGGCTGGAAGGTCTTCAGTAATTCTGAAGTCAACATCCTGGGGTGGCTGTTCCCTGTGAGCATCCTCACTTTCTGCTACCACAACATCTTGAAAAACCTGCAGAGGTGCCATACTCAGAACAAATACAAAGCAATGAAATTGGTTTTTATCGTTGTCATTGTGTTCTTCCTGTTCTGGACCCCCATCAATATCGTGCTCTTTTTGGACTCTATGAGGAGCTTGCATATCATCGATGACTGCCAGACTAGCCAAAGGCTTGACCTGGCCCTGGAGCTGGCTGAGACACTCTCCCTCGTGCACTGCTGCCTCAACCCCATCATCTACGCCTTTGTTGGGGAGAAGTTCAAGAAGTATCTCTGTGAGGCTTTTGGCAAATATACCCATTTTCTCTTGATCTGCAAAGGACACGGTGCCTTCAACAGACGCAACACGGACAGACACACCTCTCTGTACACAGCATCCTCACAATCCTCTTTTGTTGGTAGCATCTTGTAGAGCTGCAAGGCAGAAGTTCCATACTTTAGACTTCACTTGAAACTGAGAAATTCCCCTAATATACTTCAATAAAAATAGTCTTTCTGTTTCCTTGTAGGTGGAGGTTTCAGTGCAATGGTGCAATGGCCTGTTAGCAAAGTAAGACTACAATATCACACAATACCAGAGCAAGCTGTAGTGCACCTTGCTCTTTCATGTGTTCTGTACCATTCTGAGCAGGGACACCATTCTGTCCCGTGCTTAGCAAATGTGAATGAGAACTTCAAACACTGAAATTCACATTGCAAAATTCATCAGATACCCCCTGCCCACCAGCTGAATAGTTTATCAAAGAAGATTTTTGCCTCCATCACAGGGAAGTATGGGGATGCACTGTTAAGGCAACTTTTTAGGACAGGAGGTACCAGAAAAGTAGAATCATTTGCTTAAGCCTGCTTGTATCATGCTTCCCTTTGGGATTTTATTTTTTAGCATCTTTTTTATCATCTTTCTCCCTTTCCAGTAGCTCTTTCTGCCCAACTGACTTTGTGGAAGTGAGGCTGAAAAATTATCAACAGACTCCACACAAAGACGTATGCTCTGTCCCTCCAGCACAGGACACATGGTCCTCCAATATTCCTAATAAAAAAATGAAAACCTTGAAGGACGAGAAGATGCAGCCTCTCTATGCAGATAGGTTGTCAAAGTCACACCTCAGTATTCCTTCACCTAGATGCTGACAAAATACATGTATAATATTTATTCTTTTTAATGCTTATTTAATTCCTCATGCCTCCTGAGTGAGCTGCCCCTCTGAGGGAGACAGTTCATCATGGACTACTTGCAGAGCTGGCTGCAACATCCATCTTAAAGGAAGATGCCAAATGTGTCCATTAAAACAACTAACTCTCCCCTAAGGAAAGGTCAGTGGTTTGCATACAAATACCAAACGGATGGTGGTTATGGCACTGGGGCTGAAAGCCACTGCCTTCTGGTCTGCATGAACAAATGTTTGATTTTGGAGAGTGGATGAGAGCAGATGCTATTGTCTTAGGAATGTTTCTTCCCTCTGTTCAGGCCTGGTGTTGGGAGGAACAGCTTACATTTCCAAGCCTGGGACAGCAGGCAGCTCTTTCCCTTGTCTCAGCAGAGTGAATTTATTCTACAGGCAGTGGCTGTGCTCATCACAGGGTTGAGAGCATGCTTTGTGAAGGGAAACAGTCCCTCAGTTTAAGGAATCACTCCAGGGCCTAGCTCCTACCTGATATCTAAGCAAAGTTTCCAGATAGAGCTTAGTGAATGAGTAATTAGGCAAGCAGCAAATAAATTACTGTTATGTGGTAAAAGTCATGGGTAAAATCTTCCTGGGGATCTGCAGGAGGTAGCACAAATATTGACAGATAAATGTAATGGTGTTTTTAAGTTTTTGTTCCTGGTCTATTTTTCTCTACAGGATATCACCCTATTTGAAGTTTTATAATAAAGATTCTTCCTGCAGTGTAAATGCATGATCCTGGCACCTGAGAACTCCCCTGTCCTATCACTGATTATCTCAGATTGCACATTTTCTTCTACCCTGGCAGATTCACATAACTGACCATTCCTCCAGCCACCTCCTCTCTCTTCCTCCCTCTTTCCTTCTCCCTGGGAGAAAGAGACTGAGAGCAGGTTGTATTCTAGCAGGCTATCTTCTAGCAAGTCAGCCTACCCTGGTAAAATCCCCACACCTTTCGAGTACCCTTGAGGTTATTTCCTAGAGAAGATCAGAACAAAACCCAGAAGACAATTCTCTTTAGCTGCTGATCTTCAGATAGTGTTTATTTTATTGTGCATCCATGTTGGTGATCTGCAAAATGCAGTCTTTTACAAGAACAGGTTGATAACAATGTGTACTACAAATAACGTTCCTTCATGTGGGCAGTGAGAGATTCCCCAAGTGATAAAGCAAAGACTGTGAACAAAAGATGAGTTTTAACCACTTCCTCGATACCAGCTCTGCACTGCAGCTCCTGCCATTTGGGCAACTTGCCACCCTTGGTCAACATGCCTCTTTTTTTGTACGTGCAGGCATTTAAATGCCCAAGAATGGGTTTCACAGAAATTAAGGTTGAAGCAGAAATGTGGTGGACAGGATGCCAGCGCTAGCTATCTATATCCCCTGGAGGTTTGCAGCAGTAGCCCTCTATAACATACCTTGCTCGTAGCACAAGGATGGCAACAACCTCTGCACATACACATATTTGTGTATGTGCACTACTGCAGGATTTCATGGCATGCATCCTGCAGTAAAGGATTCTGTAACACTGACTTGCAGACAAAAGCCTTCCTTGCATAGTACAGCTCTCCCCCTAGCAGCTGGAACAGTCATTCAATTTCCATCACAAGATCACTGCAGGAAAATAGCAGTACCTTCAAATAACAGAATAATGGGACATGCAGAATCATTTCCATCCCTTCTCACTGCCTACACTCTCTGTCTGCCCATGCTACCACTATGCCACCCTCCAGAGCTATACCGCCTTCATACCCACAGACAAGCAGGCTCAAGAGTTGGGTATCTGCCTTGAAAAAATGTCCCTTTAGTAACAGGAGGCTCCTTTACTTGTCAGATGCTTGTCCTCCATTTCCATGTTTTCCCCTTCCTCCTCTATGTATGAACATGGAGAAACCTCAATCTTTTTTTTTTTTTTTTTTTTGCTAAATTTCAGCAGCACTTGTCTTGTCCAGCCCCTACACATCAGGTTTTGCAGTCCAATCTGAAATGGACATCATTTGCAATAAAGTAAAGCAGCCCCTGACCTATGCAAAAACAGGACAGAGATCTTTCAGCAAATTAACCTGTGGCCTAAGAGGGATCCAAGCCATGTAGATGAAGAGCAAAATATTTTTTTCTGAAGGATGTGTCTCTAAGTTTGACAGAAAATCATCCCTCCCTCCCTGGACCACATCAGGCTTGCTCTTCTGAAGCCCACTAGTATCTGCTATTTATTCTCAGGCTGTGCTCCCAGTGGGCAATTTCCAGTAAAAGCAAAAATAATCAAACAAGAAGCTGTTACTCCATGCAGCTCAGGAAAAGCTGTGTGGAGGTGTAGCTTAGGCATGGTGACCAAAATGAGAGGTGCACAGATTGCAGTGAGGCTCTGCCGCAGAGCAGAAAGGTGTGAGGAGAGGGCAATAGGGTGCAGCTCACCTTGGGTGCTGGGGTTTTCTTGGTTCTGGGATGTGCTATATTTGTGTGATATGCTCTGAGGCAACTGCGAACTTTTAGATCTGTGCAATATTTGTTTGGTTTTCTAACACTCAGGGGTCATCCTGTAACGAGATGTACCTCAGGGGCTCAGGAAATGGCCGGTTTCTATTAATGCACTGGTGATAAAAGGTATTAGTAGTCTCAAGTGATTCTCAAGCAAAGAAACCACTCAAAGACCCACAGTGCCTCCATCGTGCTCCTGCAGCCTATCCTTGGCTGCTCAGGTGAGCTGGTATGTTCACTGTGCTCTTCCTTTGCATCCTCCCAGCTGGAACTCCACAGTCTAGCAAAAATGGGCTCATTTTGCAGTCACTAAAATTTTAATTTCTGGTGCTGATTGAGATGTCATGCTGCAGGTCACCAGCAGCCAAGTCAGGACGATGTTACACTGCATGAAGAAGCTGGTAGATGTCAAGTACCATAGGCCTTCACCAAAACTCTCTGTGTTTTGAAAGGGGGATGCTTTGCTCCTTGCACACAGCTCTCTGCAGCACTAAGGATTTCCTGCCAAGGCAGCTGCCTCCCTCCTTGCAGCAGCAGCACTGGGAGTTGGACCAACCTCAGCTCCCCGCTTCAGCCTGGCGCTGCGAGCTGCTGCTGCCGCAGGGGCGGAGGTGAGACCCACATCCTGATGCTGTGTGGGCAGCAGAACATGCAGTTCTCTGTGCTCCTCTCCCTTCTGAAGGGACAGGCCTGCCTGGGAGCTGCCTGCTCTGAGCTGTGTGCAAAGGCACTAGGAGTGCAGGACGGCAGAAGGAACCCTCTGCATCTTCCTTGAGTCTGAGAGGCATCACTGTGACTTCAACTTGCAGGGTTGTCCCAGCAGCTGCTGTCCCAGGAGAAGTGTCAGGCTGGCTGAGCTCGTCTGTTCTGCATAGACACGGTGCATGGTCACTTGTTTGCTCAAAAGGAGCCCACCACAGTTTCAGCATTGGTCCCACTCACTTAAGCTTTACATCCTGATCTTGGTATTTTTGCAGTGAGACAGGTTGAAGGGAAGTCAGAACAAGTTGGGCACATCACGTAGTCAGATATTCTCATGTGTATCATCTTAAAACCGAGACAAAAGTAACAGTCACTCACATTCAGTCTTGTTTCCTTTTGATTCACTATTGGTATGTGTAAAACACAGAGTAAAAAGGATTGAGTAAAAGCTGTGTACCTGGAGGAAATATGTCTATGACAGTGTAACTCCTTTTACAAGCTCCTGTGCAGGAGGCTGACCTTACTGGTAACCTGTGTCCTCCTGTATATCTGTGATACGTCTGTAGGGTTTTTCAATCACCCTCTTAGGGGAGCAGCAGGGAAGTTGCACTGACAGCATGCAGAGCAAATTAGCTCTCATCCATAGTGTGGCTCTGGGCTGAGGGTGAGCTCTGCACCACTTTGCCACCAGTAGCCCAGCCACATCACTCTCACTCCAGGAGATGGCTGCTCCCTTGGGGCAAGCAGCCAAGCAGAAGGAATATTCTACCAAAATGGAGAACTGAGCCAAGAAGGGGAGGGAAAAGACAAGGTTCAGCAGATAGATGTCAGTCATGGCCCTGGCTTTCTTAAACACTGTTAACCTAGGTGCAGCCCAAGGCTTCTGAATGTGCTACTGTGCTCAGCTAGCAGGGCAGTAGCCAAGGAGTGACTCACTGAAGACCTGTGCCAATCACAAATCTATGAACTTGGTTTCTTTACCTGAGATTCATATAGAAACAGCAACCTCAGCTTCATCTTGAAATGTCAGCAAAGAGATCTGTAGAATGTCAATGGAAGAGTTTGGCCCACACATCTGTGAGGTGCCACTGGCCCTCACCATGTGCCTCACACCGCCATCAGGGAGGAAGAAGTATGACTGCTGGGTTTCTGGTGGAGGTGTGCAGCCCCACGTTTGTTAGTTTATTTGTTTTCCTTAGGAAGTATCCACCCTAAAAGAAAGTTCAGTCTGAGGTATCACTTCATCCATGCCTCTCCTTGAGACGTGCACTCTGTAGGATGGCTCCACTACAGGGAATATTCAGAAATGATCCTTCCAGAAGGACTCCTCCCATCTAGAAGTGCTTCTCTGTCTCTTCTCTGCTGTGGTAACATCCAGCTATGCCCAGAGATAGGATGGTTCACATTTGTAACGGAGCTCTTCCTGGGTGTATGCCCTGTAGTCTGGGCAAGTAATGCTGACCAAAGCAAAGCTGCTGCTGAACCGCAGTATTTCCCATGCACAACTCGTACGGTGTGCTTCTGCTCGGCTGAACATTTTTGCATAAAATTGTGTTTCTCTTCACTCAGCTAAAATGCCAAAATATGCAGAGGCACATCACAGAAATCCCCACTCAGCGTAGTGGAAGCGTGAGTTGGGTTTCCACACAGTGCTGACTTGTGCATCTGCTGGGCTGTCATCTCCACCCAACACCTCTCTTGTTTCAGAGCTGGCTGGTACTTGCATGGGTCCAACGTGCTGTGGTACCTCTCACTCAGAGCTATTTTTCCACTCCATGCGCTGGTATGCAGGCAGACTTTCCACTGACATTAATATATGTGCCATGTGCTTGCACGTGGACATCACAAAAACATTTATTCACACAGCCCTTCTTCACCTCGCGTTCCCCAAGAACACTCAGAGCCTCCAAAATCATCTTCATGCTTGGTTTTGGGGAAGGTAAAGCACATGCATTTTGAGAGGAAGGGCACTTCGGCACCCTGACCAGCTGAGGTCTTCACATCCCATCTGCCCCCACTGGCTGCCTGGGTATCCATTCCTGTCTTCCAACCTGGAGCACAGGTTCAGAAGGAGCAAATGAAACAAAAACAGGCTGTTTACTGATGTAGAGCAGCAAGGGAATAATGCCCCAAAGTCCTACCCCTTTGCTGACCCATACTTGGAAGTAAACGGAATCTTTCTAGCAAACAAGAGTGGAGTGCCAAGGTGTGGGCAGAACATGCGAAATGAACTGCTGAATATTAAATTCCATAGAATTTATGAGCCATATATTTAAGAGCCATAGAATATCCTGAGCTGGAAGGGACCCACAAGAATCATCAAACTGCACTGGTTACAGATTCATAAGTTGAGAGGACATAGATAGATAGTTCTGGAAAGATAGATAGTTCTGGAAAGTAGTAAGCCTCTGTTCTCAGGTCATTTTATCTACTTACCTAGTTATCTATTTATTTATTTAATGGTACTGGAAATAAAATATTTGAATAATAAACCAATTCAGTTGTCATGTCCTTTTAGTCATCCATCCATCCATTCATTCATTCATTTAACAGTGAAATATCAGATTAAATCTTTGTTTTGCAATGTCAGCAGTGTCCCAGAGGCTGCTCGTAGGTCCAACTAGAAAGAGACACTAAATGCATTTTGCTGATGGCATAAACAGTATTGG